TTATTTAATGTGCATGAAAAGAAAGACAGTCATTTAATATACGCGAAAAAAAAGATAGTCATTTGACATGCACAAAAAGAGAGACAGTCATTTGATATGTGTAAAAAGAGAGATGGTTATTTGACATACACAAAAAGAAAGACAGTTATTTGATGTGTGTAAAAAAAGAGACAGTCATATGACATGCCAAAAAGAGAGATAGTTATTTGACGTACACAAAAAAAAAACAGTCATTTGACATGCACAAAAAGAGAGACTATCATTTAATATATGTAAAAAAAGGCAATCCATATTTAAGGCTTCGTAAATATCATAATATTAACATTGAAGCAAAAATAGATAATACAAGTTAAAATTTACTATATGATTTCCCTGCAGTTATCACCAGCAACATTTTTATATCATCTGATATTATATTCAATTTTTCATCATCTAATATTATATTCAAAGAAACAGATGGTTATCTTTTAAATGAAATTTTAATAGCCAGCATCATCAATTCTACCAGGATGATATCCAGAATAATACTAGTTCAGATAACTATGAGAATGATAATCAAGGTCAAGATGATGTTCAAGATAATGATAGCAAGATTATTCAGGAAAATGATAGTCAAGATAATGTTCAAGATAATGATAGTCAAGTTTAGAAGAACTATAGCCAAGATGATGTTTGAGAGAATGATGGTCAAGTCTAGGAGAATTATAGCCAAGATGATGTTCAAGAGAATGATGGTCAAAATGACTTCCAGGAGAATGTTAGCCAAGATAACTTCCAGGAAAATTGTAGCCAAGACTACTTCAAGAGAGTGATAGCAGTGATAACATTTATCTTATTATTCAAATCCAGAATATTTTAAAGATTCTGGTTTTCTAATTGAAGAGAATAAAGAGTCTGAGGACAAAATTACCATATATTCTCAAAAATAAGCTACTATTTTTGGAAGAAAAATTATACAAAAATATTGGGGTAGCTTATTTTTGGGTAAAAGTGGATTTTGCTCAATTGCGAAAATTTTACTAAGTAGATTGGTATGGCTTATTAAATGAAAGTTATTCAGGAGATCAAAATACATATATTCTGAAAATTTTATATAAATCAGATAACTTTGTATTAATTGACTTTTGATTTTATGTTCAACAAATATAAATTTTAAAGAAAATTTAAAAAATTCATCGAACGTAACATGCAAAAATCAATTAATAAAAAGTTATCCAATTTACATGAATTTTTAGAATATATGTATTTTGATCTCCTGAATAACTTTACTTAATAAGTCATGTCGATTTACTTAGTAAAATTTCGACTTTACTATAGAGTGACTACTGATGATCGTATAAGTAGCTTATTTTTGGGCAATAGAAGTTTTTATGTTTTACTTCCAAAAAAGGAAGGTAGTTTATTTTCGGAGTAGCTTATTTTTAGGAATATATAGTAATATAGCTAATTTTGTATTTGAAAAACCAAGCCAACTTCTGAGAAATCTTGATAATAAGTTTAGCCCCTACTTTATGAACTTTACTGAAATGTCTTTTTTACTTTTGTGACAAAACATTCCATCTGTATGCTAAAATATATTAACCATTTTATTTTCCTATTATATACTTACTTCTTACTACTTTTACTACTAGCAATCGCAGCATATCAAGATCTTGTAAAATTCTATCTCATGATCAATTTGTTTCTCTTGAAATGCTATCAAATATACGTACATTAAAACAATATCAACTAAGACTACCTATCCTTCTAGTTTATCAATATAAAGTTCAAATCAACATTCATAAATCATTTTCTACATCATTACTAGTCAGGAATACATACACTTTATTCGTTTGTGATCATATAAAACAAATTCTAAAAAATCAGCAACTTTTTTTAAAAATATACTTCGGTTCCAGAATAGAAAGAAAAAATAAAGTAGAATTCTGGCACAAAAAGATTTGGTCAGAATCATCTTTGTTTAGCAATAATATGCTGGAAATTACATTTTCAGATGCGTATATTTGTATTATGGCAATTAATATTTGTATACTAGTGTATTAAACATAGAAACTTATAATACTCAGAATTTTAAATATGAAATCACTTTGGGGTTATATAAAAAATTTTAGTATAGACTATACCTTACTCTAAAACCTTAAACCCTACTCTAATGTAACTTTAGTCTAATTTTGATTCTTAAATTTTAGATTATATATTGACCTACAAATTATACCTATACTTATACACTAAAAGAAATTAATTTCTTTATTATAATTTGTATCAATTTATTTTAGGCCAACCCACAGTAATCTATCAAACAGGTAACTTTATTTCTTATGTCAATCAGCAAAATCACTTGCAGTTTTGTTTTTTGCAAGCATTTGTTCAAGTAAAAGAAGATCTACAAGTAAAAGTGCAACAGCTTTGAAAATATTTTATAATACCAGCACATTTGCATTCTTTTGGAAGATTTTTAAAATCACAATGTGGATGTTTATGGTTAACCAATGATTAATTTGTAACAATACTAACTAACCAGATTCGAAACCAAGTGAAAGTTTGGCTTATGGATCATCCTGAACCTAAAGAATATGATTACTTTGTGGATAAAATTGCGTACTAACATAATCGATCATGGAAAGTTTATCCAATACAATATCGGCACCAATATCCAAATAAAACTATGAATTTACCTCCAATACCAACTGGCCTTTGATGTTTACGAGTCTTTATTGATCTATACAATGATAACTTTGAAACTTTCAGGAATGTTTACCATTCATTTGGCGAAGTTTATATTCAGTTCAGGAACATATCTTTTTATCTGCAAATGCTATTAAAAAACTATTTTCTTATAGGATTTGTACTGTTTGGTGCAAACTTTGAA